CATTACTTTTCCACAACCTGTCCAGTCATAGTGAATGGATTAGGATTTTCAAATAAATTACTTATAGAGATACTAGATGTATGTCAGGTGTGAATCTTTGGAATTAATTGTTAACAATGACTTTAATTAATTTGGAATTAATTAATGAATTAATTGTTGTGAACAGTAATACTTTTGTGAACAAATGACTCCAAATAAAGACATATATAAAATTGAAAAGATGCTAAAAGCCCCCAAAAATCTTTTGCTTCTTCATTACAAGAAACCTGTAAAAAAAAAATTCACTGTAGAAAACTACAATAAATTGCAATATTTATATTGATTTGTTTCCATTTTTCATGGCCATGGGAACCCTAGATAATGCATATGTTCAGCAGATATTCAAAATGTGCAACATAAAATAATTCAGATTAAATGAGAATGAAAAGGAGGTATGACATTGTAGACTTAACTCACTTTGCTTATATTCCGGTTTCTAAAACATTTCATTCTGCACAGTGATTTTCCTCTTCATTTGCAAACATTTACTGGTTTCCCTGGCAACTCAGTGCACAATTTTTTTACCCCTTTGAGCAGAAACGATGCATTTTATGCTAATTTGAACCAGCTTTCTTAGATATGAGAGCTTGTAAATGGCATGAAAAATCTATGCTAATTCGCCAACCATGAAAACTGCAACCTAAAAAGCATCAAACTTTTCTCTATTGAGTTTTTAATGAGACAATAGAAGGATGATAATGTGTTGTCTAACACTGCAAAGACACTTTGTTTTATTTCTATACTAAATTGCCAGCCAAAAAAAAAACGTTTTCCTATCAGAGCTTGAGGAAAGATGTAAACAGTAAGCTGATGGAGGCCACTCATAGTTTTATTTGTTGTTTAGTCATTCAGAGGACGTGAATCTCAGCAGGCATAATCAATAGAGCCCTTCAATGCAATGAAACATAAGCGAGTGACAAGTTTGATGGTTGTCAGTCGAGCAGAGATAAATGGCGTGAAGCTTAACCACAGCATGTTGAATTATTTAGAGATGAGTCGCTGCAGAGGATCTGACTCGCCCCTCCTCTCTTGAAGATCAAGCGTGCTGACAAATTGTAGCGTCACTCTTTTACAAGTTTCTATGGACTGAGGTCATGAATACTTCTCTGTTCATATTTCTACCCTGGAACAACTTTTGTAGTTATTCTCCTCTATTCTGTCCTTTTAGTTTATTTTGCTAAAATAAAAAATTAATCCGTCAAGATGCGCTTGTTATCTTTTGGACCAAATGCCTAAGGTTTTAACACATTTGATCTCGGTAGGCTGTCTTTATCTGTTCCCGTTCAAATTCTGCCAGATGGGCAAGTTTTGAAATAGACTTTCAAAAAAGAGGAAAATGTGATGTGCAATTACAGTATTAAGTGGTCTATGAAATGATAAAGCCTTAGGGGTCTTCTGAAGGTTATATTGTAACAAATGATGACTGAACTTTCCAGTCACCTCTAAATTTCTCATATCGCAAGGAAACGTGCTTGCTGTCTATGTCAGGGTGTGTAATTAGGTGTAGATAGGCCAGATACTACAAAAATTACAAGGCAGAAACCACTGGTATTAAAAAAAAAAACTCGTAAATGGTCATTTAAAAGCCAAGGAGTGACTATTAGCTTTGTGAGAAGATTCTTTTACAGTAAAATGACATCCAGAAAGGTTATGGTTTGTTAAGCTCCCCCATTTTACTTTGTGCTATGGACCATTTTCACATTTCACAAAGCTGCTTGTTTTCAAACTTGAGGGGAAAAAATACTTTTGAAAGTGTTGAAATATATATATATATATATATATTTTTTTTTTTTTTTTTTTTTTTT